TATACACATATATTTGAGTGTATAACATATGGTGGGGGGGGCCCATGTATTTAGTTGTCTACCATTTATTCAAGTGATGTTCATGCTGAATATACAGAGCATGTATAGTGTCATCACATCTTATATTGGGAAAATGAGGTTTAGGCTCTTTTACCTCTGGTGGACAAAAAAGAAAAAAAACCGATTATTTTGACCTCCATTTTGCTGATAAGGAAATAAAAATCGACCATGTGACCAGCAGTAAATATTTTTGAATATTAGTTTGCCTTCAATTTTCAACTGAGACTTAAAGGTTATTGAGGACATCAAGATATCATGCTGCCTGGTAACTGCCCAGGCTTCCCATTGGCTACACGCCTCCTCAGCCGCCACCCTCTGGCAGTTCATTCCAGAACCACAGCTTTGTTTAGTGTCCTAGTCTGCAGGGTTCCAGGAAGATCTGACCTCTGTGGTCTGTCCTGTGACACACTGAGGAGTTGATATGAAGGGACGCTCCTCCAGTCACTGGAATCTGGTGATCTTGCTTGCAGCATTTAGAAGAGTGTCTCATAAGTGGAAGGTTTCTTTCAGAAGTATTTTCAAATGATTAAAATATGTCAGGTCCCTGAAATAATAATGTGGCTGTATATTTGTACGGCATATTCTCAGAGTTCTTTCACATACGTAGTCAGGACTCAAACCCAGGTGTTCCAGGTTCCCCATCCGTTCCCCTTCTGTCTGCCACACAGTGGAGAATAGCAGCACTGAAGGTTAGCCTGCCCTTCTTTGAGGAGCATGAATTAAAATGGTCGCTTCTGCCTAGGGTTCCATGGTCAGGTGAGCTTCGGAGGAGCTGGGGTCTACCCCCCTTTTAGGAAACCAGAATTCACAATAGTAGTGTGTTATTCCTATTCTGAAAACCCACTGTTAAGAAATTTGTTGGCTTTTATTTAACCGAGAGTTTTCCAAGTGTGATTTAGCCATTCCCACCCCCCGCCCCAGTGGAATTGGGGTGGAGGGTGCGTAATAGCCCAAGGATTGATGTCCTTTAGTTTTGCTAATTCTCTTGCTTCGTGGTCACATAGAGGTTGCAGTGGGGGAAGTGGAGACTACTTTCTTCTTAAGCTCAGAATATCTTGTAAAAATATTTTTTTCCAAATCAGTTGTATTTAGAACAGTGCTTCTCACACATTAATGTGCATCCACTTCACCTAGGAATCCTGTTAAAATGCAGCTTATGATTCAGTAGGTCTGGGGTGCGGCCTGAAAGTCTGCACTTGCAGCTTGCTCTCAGGTGATGTCAGTACCGTGACCCGGGCTCCCTCTGGGGAGCGGAGAGGCTGGAAAGTCACCCGGCTGTGAGTGAACGAGACGGTCCAGCCAAGTGCTGTCCTTTCCCTGCTCTGCAGATTCATGATTTCTTCAGACCTTCTCGTCATCTTCATCCTCTCCTTTACTGATTCTTGGCTCTCAGAATATAATTACATAATCAGGTTTCAGCCATCTTAAAAACAAACCCTATCAGTCCCTGTTCTCCTGGATATGTTCTCTTCTAGCTTCTAGTAAGATCTACTGCTGTTTCCTCATTGGATTTCACACCTCGGTTCACGGTCTGACTTCCTCCATCATGGCCAAGGTCACCCTAGACCTCCTAACAAATGCTTTTCTCTTCTTACCTTGAACAGTCCCTGGGGGGTATGTGATACTTTTGACTACTCTTCTGTCTATAAACTTGCTCTTTCCTTAGCTCCATGATGTCATGGTCTAATCTTTATTTGTGCTCTCTAGCCTTCCAGACGCCTTTGCCATCTCCTTCTTCCACGTTGAAATGTCACCTAAATCCATGAATACCCTTCTTAGGCTGTGTGTCTAGCTCTACTTGGACAGCTCTGCATGAGTGGGTCTCAGAGCCTCCGGTTTAACGCATTCAGACTGAACTGATAGCCCTTCTCTGCTCTAGTCTGCAGATGTGCACTCTCGTGTATCATAAAGCAACCCCCTTCCCTACCCTTTTACACTCATTTCTTCAGTTAATATGTATTGCCTTCCATGTGTGTATTATTATTTCTGCCTGTTAAATATCTCTCCAAATTGTCCTCTTCTGTGATTGCTTCCTAATTGGACTCCTTGTGTTCATTTTTCAGTCCTCTACACTGTTGCCTATAAGATCTTTCTAAAAATGAAAATTGAATGTCACTCTCCAGCTTTATTAAAACCCTGAGGTGGTTCCTCATGGCTTCTGCATCAAACTCCTTAGCTTGGAAGACAGGTCCCTTTATTTGCCAGTCCTCCCCTCTGTGTTCTCCTTGTTAAACTAGAGAGCGCGTCCACGGGGCAGTGCCCCTGACCTGCTTCCGCAGAATGCATTCTCCTCGCTTGAAACGCCCTCCTTCCGACCTGATCCTTCAGGGGTATATAGTGAGTCTGATTCCTCCTCTTGGAATGCGTGACACGTGACACACCCTCCCTGCCCCCTTCACCACTCTTATGTGCTCCTTTCTCTGTATTTAGTCATTCCTGTGTCAGGGGTTTATTATCTTCGCACTCTCATGACTCTGTCATGACCCTTGTTTTTCACGTTGTCTCAACATGAGGACAGAGTTCCTTGAAAACATAAGCTGTCTTTTCATCTCGGCATCCCCAACGCCTAGCACAGTTTCTCCCCACACGGTAGATAATTGTTTGGATGGTTATGTATTTATTTAATTACTTTAACCTTACTCCTCTCCCCGCAGTTTTTAATCAGCTTATGCTTTGGTCTCACTTGTTAACTTGTAGGTGGAATTCTGTCCGAAACCTTCTTTGCCCTAAGCATTCTAAAACCTATGAGTTTTGAAAAACACAGGTGAATAGATTGGCTTCTCCTTTGATTGGGAGCTCCCTCCAGTAGCCGCCTGGGGTCTTTGTGGTTTGAAAGAGGTTTTTTAGACCCAGGAATAACTGCAGCAAAGATTATGGCAGGCTAGGGAAAGTACCCCTTCCCAAAGGCTGCAGGTCAACTTTTTAAAGGTGTCCGAATATTCTAGAAGTGATATATTTACTTCTGTGATTCCTTCCTTGTTTTTCTCTGTGTATTCCCTCTAAATTAAAATTTCATTTTCTCAGAGTTGTACATTACCAAAACTTAAACAGTATTATATTTCCTTTAGGACCCAAAGGTGATAGTGGTGTGAAATAAACATATTGTTTGTCAAACAGTTGTCACTTTGTCAAACATTCTCAATCTCTTAGCCATTTGATGGGTGATTTTTCCCTAATATTCATCAATTTTACTTAAAATTAAGATTGGAAATTTATGTGAAACCAGAAAAATATATAAACATCAAAAATTTTTGAGGCAAAAGTTTAGTAATTAAAAATATCTTAAACTGTTGAAAAATCAGGGCTGGAAATTCCTGGCTTAGCTGCTAAAGCACTAAAGATATAGCCAAGATGATAGCTGAAAATACAGCCACCTAACCCGAAGACACTGTAGTAAGCTGCCAAGACATCTAACCTTGACAGGGTCAGTGGGTTTCTGTGTCGGGGTGGGACGGGGAAAACACCTGACAGTAAGACTTTAGTGACTAAGACCAGTTTCAAGGCACCTTGTGAATACTTGCGTCCTGTCCTGCTACTTGAGATCTACAGACAGAATTTGGGTTGAGGGGACATCTTCCTTGCCTTGGGCTGTGTTGTAAGTGGTGGAACAGATGTTTCTGTAGAGCTGGAATGTAGCTGTAAACTGAAAGCTATGTTACCCCTCAACCCTGTTCTCAGTTTCATGGGTACCACGGGGCTTTTCACTGGAAATCTGACCTGAGCTTATCAAGCTTCCAGCATCCCTTGAGGGGAGCTTAGTGTAATAAATATTTACTACTCCCTTCCACAGATTGGAAGGCTTCGCGGACTAGCGTCAGCTTCTCTGCTCCTTGTTTGGCCATCACCCTAGGGAACTTCAGGGATGATCCAAACCAAACTAACGTTGAAAGTTACGTTCAATTTCTCTACTTCTAAACCAGGGTAGCTAAACACTTCTGAAGAAACTCATGCTGTTAGGTGCATGTTATGCACTTACACAACTATATAGATCACCAGCTACCAAGACTTTCCCGTCAGCATTAGCGATCCTTCCACGTGTCGAAAGTAAACTCTTCATTCCCTCCTTGAAACCTGATTTTCTTCCTTTTTTATTTATCTCAATTCACGGCATACCCTTCCACCTCAATCACTTAAGCCAAAAATGGAGTCATCCTTACCCTATTCTTTACCAAGTCCTGTTAATTTCTCCAAAGGAGATATTAAGTTTGATCTTTGCCTTCCATTGTGGTTGCCACTGTTTTGTCAGGCCTTCATTTCTTACCTTGATTATAGTTCTCAACTCCTTACTGGCCTTCCTGTTGCCAACCTTCCTCCTTAGAATTCCTCCTCTAGAGCAGCCTCTGCTTTTGTCCCCAGCCTGCTTCCTACCTTTTCAAGGTTCCTTGAGGTCTGTCAGGCCCCGTCTACCCTCGTCCCACATGGCTCCCTGTCCCCAGCTTCCCCTGTAACTGAGCTTAAAGTCTGCCTCTCCGTCCAGACCAGTCTTTCCTCCCCTTAGTTTTCCTAATAAATGAGTGGGAGCTTACTTTCCTTCAAGCCTTCATTCACGGGGCTTTCTCTCTTGACAGTTTTTTTACCAGCAGAAGCAGTCATGCCACGTTACCCTTCTAGACGGCTGTTGTGGAGGTTTTCGTGCTACGTGCCAATTTTGGATTTGCATCTGTCCTGTAGTACTCCCACATCCTTGAGGTCAAAGACATTCATGTACCCAAGTATGTAACTGAGTGTATGCTCTGTGCCTGGTACAAATCAGACACTCAGTAAATGCTCGTTGAATGGAAGAACTGAATTACTCAGGAATTAAACATATCTGTGTGTTATAAGTAACACAAATATTTTGTACTTCCAAAAATAATCCTAGCAATCCACAATAATTTCTAGCTAGCTAGAAGGTTTTTAAGAGGATATGATAATTGTGTGCTTTTTATTTTCAATTTTAGTGGCAACATAAGCGAAATAAATGAAAATTCCTTTGAATTGTGTTAAAGATAAGTGATCCTAATAAAGAGAGGATAAACGTGGGCAGAATATGAATCCTGCTAACCCTGCTTCTGCTACAGTTGTGCCCGGTCTTGGGCAAGTCACTTCTCCTTGGCAGCCCAGTGCCGTCTGTACAGTGAGAGTTAATGACAGGTCAGTAGATTTAGCAGCAGCCCTCTTTGTTTTAATGAAACACAGGAAACTGGATGAAAGAAAGAAGAGCAGAACTGCTCTACTTTGGAATAGGGGATGCCGCGGAAAGTGAGGGGGAGGGGGAGGAAATGGTGGCCCCCGCGGCATGTCCGTGAACGTGCTTGAAGCCATTGCGTCGGGCGCGGTGTGTGGGAGGCTCTCCTGAAGCTAACGCAGCTCCAACCAGAATATTTTCCGTCACGGAATTCGACGAAGCTTCATGTGTAAACTGCCTGTCTTGCTTCTCGTCTGATGTTCTTTTCGCAGGACTTTCCTATCTGCATAATACTAAAGTCTTATCTCAATACGTTTTCTTCTTTCGGCTCACCGTACACATTATATGTTGATAATTTACCTTTTGATGCTTAGTTCTGTCTAATCAGGATATTTTAATTCGCTGAGGAGGCTGCTCCTGAGTCCCCGCTTCTCCTCTCGATCCCGCGGTGGTATGCTCCGACACCCCGTGGTGCCGAGGGCGGGCGTGCGCCGAGTCCGCCTGCGAGCCAGCAGGTCTCGACTAGGCTCCACGGTTGCCCTCCTGTTACAGAGAGGCAAAGCAGCAGGTCCAAGCGACACGTGTGGTAAGAGGTGGCGCTGGGCTTTGACCCCGACAGCCTGGCTCAGAGCCTCCCCTTCGCCATTCTGCTAGCAAACTTGGAGGTACAGCTTCAGCCCGCACAATTAATTTCCTCGTTTTTGCACATATTTTGAACTTCTTTTCAGAAATAAAGAGAACCTGTGTAAATCACTTAGTATAGTGACTGACCCATAGTAAATATTGGTTAGTGTAAGCTTTGGCAAATGGACACCTGGAATGTCCACAGCCTTGATTAGCAATGGAGAAGAAAACTAAACAGCATCCTAGCTCTCTGTTTCCCAGTTCTCAGAGAGAACCAAAGACTCACATCTATTCAAGATGTTTAAATAAAACGAAGACACTTCAATTTATTTTGCATTCTTACCTAACAGATGCTATAATTTTTATCTTGCCACCAGGTGGCAGCATGTTACACAAGGAAATAATAGAAATGTTATTCTGTTGTGGACTACTTTTCAGTATTTTGCCTTAAAAACTGTTAAACCATAATAAAAACAAAATACTATTCCGTGTTCCCCTTTGTCTGTATTCCCCCTCGTTGGTTGAGAAGGCCCTCATAGCCCAGTGTCCATAGCCCACAACTAGACCTGCCTTGGTCCTGCCCTGCACACGCTGTCCCTATAAGCCAGGGCAGAGTTTACTTTTCCTGCATCTGCAACCGAAATGTAAGCCCTCATACTGAGATTCTCCCAACTAAGTGGGTTTAGTTCAGCAGCAGTAGGGACTACTGCAGTCGTCCTCTTCCCTGGACCTTCCATGGTACCCAGAGAAGCACCAGATCTGTGGCAGCAACTGAATAGGTGCCCTTGGGTAACGGCCAGGTAATAGGTAGGAGATACATTTTTAGTTCTTTGTGGTTATGTTTATTTTAATTTGTGTTATAGAAGTCCCTGAAAACTTACTTAAGTTTAGGTATTATCAGAATCATTCGGATAACTACTGCCAAGGGTTGAAAGATTAGTGTCTGAGGTGGAGGGCAATTAATGGCTAATGAAGGTAAAGGACTGGACATGGCAATTAATCAAAGTAGGGCAGAGCGGGGAGCTAATGGGAAAATGTAGAGAGAGTTAGGCTTCAGATACGGGTGTGCAGTGCTGCATGGGAAGGCCAGAGGCTCGCCAAGTTAAGTTGGCTGCAAGGAAATCTCTTATACTTCTTAATCGTGGATCTGCCTAGGTTGTTTCACAGGGTTAATGAAATCCTTTCACATCAGTTTCTCAGCAAATGTTTTTTCCTGTTCTATAATCTATTAACTAATATTCAGATTTGACTATATTTGAAACATGGAGTACAGATGAATATGTTTGTAATTCTTGTCACAAAACCTGCAGTGATATTTAGATGTCATGTTTTTAGAGTATTATGTTAATTAAGCAGTGCTAAAAATTTTCTGGAGTTATGCCGTCATCTTGCTTCATTTTTCTGATAGTAAGGAAATAACTATTCCAGATAAGTTAATTGTTACAAAATCTTTCCCTGGTAAACATCAGAACTTGTAAGAATAATGAAGACGTTTCAAGAACGTGTTTTGTGTTACTTATGTTAAACAGCAAATCCTGAGTCTCTCTCCCCTTGATGACTCGGGCCACCTTGGCCAACACATGCCCTCTTCAGTCAGGAGCTGTGAGCCCATCTTCACACAGGCCCACTGCTCCCGCAGCCGCTGCCGTGCGCGGGCTCCCCCGTGGCCTCTTCCCCAAAACCGCACATGCACATCCCCACTGGCCGCTCACACAGACACATCCTCACACTCACTCTCTTTCTCTTTCTCCTTCCCTCTCCTTTTCATAATTTGCTTCTGTAGCCTGGGGAATAGAAAAAGTAAAACTAGTTAAAATGATGTCTAAAATTGGAAGGAATTTCAATTTAAGACTGTCCTATTAAAGCATGAGCTTTAGGGAATTCTCTGGTGGTCTAGTGGTTAGGACTCTGCGCTCTCCCTGCCGGGGCCCCGGGTTCAATCTCTGGTCAGGGAACTAAGATCCTGCAAGCCACACAGCACAGCCACAAAAAAAAAAAAAAAAAAGCATGAGCTTTAGTGTAAAGGCTTTGTAGTATCTATTTAGTTAACTTATTGTTGCTAATTTCTTCCTTTTTTTTTTTTTTTTTCCCTGTGTTCTAGAGGTATTTCAGGTTGTTACATCTCTTCCTTGAAAGATATATATGGAGATTGATTTTTAGTGACTGGAGTGAAATGAGCAATGAAAGAAAATTCTAGCCAATTATTGTAACAGATATGTATCTCTTATCTTTCTGAGTTTTTGAAGTGCTTTGCAGCTTTAGTGGACAGTTATTGTCCATGACAACCAAGGCTGCTCTCTTAGAAGTTTTATTTTATCTCTACTAAGGCTTAACAGTATTTGCTTCATGCTCATTATGTTTGGGAACTCAACAATTTCAGTCCACAGCCACATACTTTGAAAAGAGGTGTACTGATGTCTACAGTTGTCACATTGGTTTTAAACTCTTAAGGACTTCTTAAAATTGATCATTAATTAATCACTTAGTAATATATATTAAATATTAATTTTTGCCATGATGTAAATAAAACAATCCATTTATATAGTGTCCTCTGTATAGTGTGCTCAGAGAAGTGGAAAATATTTTATTTCAGTGTCTTTAATATGTAATCAGAGAGTTGGATGACAAGTAAATTGTAGCATTGTCCAAAGAGTATTTCACTGAGATGATGGGAATTAGAAAAGAAAAGATAACCATTTGCTATATTTAATTATAATGGAGTTAATTGCATGTCTTTCTGATATAAAATACCTCTTACGTCCATTGGGTACAGCTATTCCTGAAGGTGCTTAAATAAAGTATTAAGTATACTATTTAAGTAATAAAATTAGTAGTGACTTGGAAATTTTAGCATAAATAAAGACATAGCTTTCATAAGCCAGTTTTTAAAGTGATTCATCAACAGATTAGCAAAAAGCCAATTTATTTACATCCATTGGCACATGTAATAATGACTTTTATAATATAAATGCTTGTTTATATGAAGTTATAACTCATTTATGGGACCTTGTAGTTCTAATGTTCTAGTGAAATGTATACATGTGGGTGCCCCTGGCAGGAATTCCAACTCTGTGAATTTATGAATCTGTTGACTTCAATATTTAGTTAGCCTGGCCATCACTGTAATTGACATGTTATTGGAAATAGAGTTAGTTTTTCCCTTATTTATAAGGATAACCTCCATTTTGAGGAATGTGAATCAATTCATAGTTGGCTGACAGCCAGTTTCTCCTTCACTTGAGCTCCAGCACACACTGGAAAAGCACACTGGCTTCCGAAGTGCCTTGTGAATCTGCAGTGATTAATTCTTCTCATTATTTCACTGCAAGTTCTCGTGACCCTCTCTGATGGTTCGATCAGCCACTTAGAGTTGATGCATATTCATTCCTCTGCACGCCTGCCGCAGTCGCTCACGCGCCCTGCACTGACTGGTGTGTTCTTGGTGCAGTAATTGAGCAGCAGTAGATTGATTGCTCTGGGGAGCTGTAGGACCTTAAAGGTGAAAACATATCAGTCCTGTTAATTAGGAAACAAAAGCTCTGGTGGCAGGTTCAGCAGTCAGATATTTCCAGTGTAGAAAAGACGAAAGATATGATGTGTTCCTCTCCATGGACCTGTTTACTTTTTAAATTTTGAATTAGGTCTGTATCAGTAGTAGTGGAGAACAGCCTTCTTTTATGAATTTTTATAGAATGCTAATTGAATATAATATTAATACTGTTATCTCTCAAATCTGATAGTTTAGAACCTGAGTTTGTATACACCTTCTGTAGCATTGGCAACAATGTGTAAAATATCTTAATGTCTTACATAAATATAGAATGCTTTTGGATTGATTCTGGTATTTAGAGGCTTAATTTGGTTACAGTGTTCTCATGCTAATTTCTTGTCATTTAGTAGTATGGGAAAAGGGTGAAACTTATTCAACATGGCATAGAAGTTGAGCCGCCTTTATCTCTTTATCATAAGCACCCTTTGATTATTCCCCCCCCACACACCCGCCAAACTGTATGTTAAGTAATACATTGTCTGGGAAAAAGGATCCTGTATGGAACGGTGGCCTCCAGAAGTAAGCTAGTTTCAACATGGACATCTATGCAGCTTATCTAATTGACATGTTTTTCTCAGGTGTGCTGTTCTTATGTTATGGTCTCCGCCTTCCCCTTCTCCAGTCATGAATTTTTTCTTTTGAGATATAACTCACATACCATAAAATGCACCTTTTTTTAAAGGTGAATTCTATGGGTTTTAGTATATTCACAAAGTTGTGAGACCATCTCCACTGTGTTCCAGAACATTTTCATCACTCCATTCCTTCCTTCCCCTAACCCCTGGCAACCAATAATTATTTTCCTTCTGTGGATTGACCCCTTCTGGACATTTCATATAAATGGAATTGAACTATACGTGGTCTTTCATGTCTGGCTTATTTTACTTATTAGCAAGGTTCATCCTCATTGTCACATGAACCAGTACTTCATTTTTTATGGCTGAATAATATTCCATTGTATGGTTATACCACATTTTGGGTTTCATTCTTCAGTTGGTGAACATTTGTGTTGTTTCCACTTTTTGGCTGTTGCTGCTACTGGCATCAGTTCCCACACGTCCTTGTCTTGTTCGTGATCTTAGGGGGAAGGCTTTCAGACTTCACCGCTGGGTATGATATAGGCTGTGGGTTTTCTTAGATGCTGTTTATCAGCTTGAGGACGTTCCCTTCTATTTCTAGTTTGTTGAATGCTTTTATTGTGAAAACGTGTTGGATTTTGTCAAATGCTTTTTCTGCACCTATTAAAATGCTCGTGTGGTTTTTGTCCTTTATTCTATTAATATGGTGTGTTCCATTGGTTGATTTTCTTATGTTGAGCATTGTAATATTTTATGGAGCTTTTTATATAATGTTCTCTTACTGTGTGGTTTTAAATAATTTGAACCAATTTCTCTACCTTATATTTCAGGCATTTATTAATACAGCAAAAGAAATTTATGAAAAAATCCAAGAAGGAGTCTTTGACATTAATAATGAGGTATATATATATATATATAAATATTATTGGCTAGTTAATTTAGAATTGAATTTTAATTACTTGGATTCAAGATTTCTACTTTTTAAAATTCCTAAAATGGATCTATGATGTCAGTTAACACATAAGTTTATAATCATCTCATTGAAAATTTGTTATATGTTGTATAATAGCTAAATGTTTATGTTCTAGTGAAGCATCACTTTATCTATGAAAACGGATTAAAGTAAGTGACCCTATCCATTTATTGCAAGCAATGCAAAATAATATAAATCCTCCAAAGAGAGAAGAAAATCCACTTTCATCTACACATCCATATGGTGTCATCTGCTTTGGGAATAATTTTCTAGTGTGTAAATGCGTGTGCGACGTCAGCTAATGCAAGGTGCTCTCTCCGTTGTGTCTGGTGCGGAGAAGGGAGGCGTCCAATTGGAAGTTACTCCCAGTTCAGCATAGCGTGTTTTCAGGAGCCTGAGTTAGTATATGTAATTGGCAGTTGGCACTAGTTGTTTTGTTTTTGTGGGTTTCTTTTCTTTTCCTTTTTTTTTTTCCTTTTTTTTTTTTGTAAAATTATTTTGAGCCAGTTTTGATCAACATGATTAGGATAAAATGTAACTTTGAAACAGATAATTCAGAGTGTTTACCAAAGGCCATCATTTTGACCTAAATCACCACTATGCATTTGTCCTTATTTATTTCAGAATTTTTTTGTGGATAAGAGCATATTATTTACTTTTACATAAATGTTTCTGCCATTCTATAGTAAGACTCCTTGCTTCCAAGAGAAAAACCCTTATTCCTCCCCCAGGTGCAGTGAGGAAGCACTGTGTTAGGAAGACATTGTGTGTGCATCTCTTGGCATGTGCAAGAGAGCCTCTTTATTATCTGTCTCAATGTTCTTTGCTGAAACAAACAACAGTTTGCCTAGGGTTTCCAAAAAGTGTTTGATTTTCCAGTTTCTTTTAATTTGTAGTGATAAAGTTTCTAACCCATACTTTCCAGGCTTATATGGCAATAGACCTTGAGTTAATTTAAAGGCGACACCATTCAGAGACTAATGCCATATAAATTGAACAGTAATTGGGCGTCTATGTAAAGGCCATGTTCATTGTCTCTGTCTGGTTTCATATAGTAGCTGAGTGCTTTACTGTGCCTGGCGTGGCTTTGATTGCAATGTGCTGTCAGGAGCCAACAGGCCGTGCGATTTATCTGGCCTGATGCCAAGTCTGACTTCTTGATTCCTCAAGAAGTTGCTACCAGCCCAGAGGGGGCAAAACCAATGAGCCATAGGGCATGCTTTTTATTAAAGAGGAGTCAGAAGGGCGAAAAGAAACCACATCAGCTGCTGTCAATACTGAGCTAGTGCCAGAAACCCCAAGGCTACTACTGTTGCAGAACAACTGCCAAGCACTGTAAATCTGAGATTTACTGTGACGTAAAGTTTCCTTAAGAGCTTAATTTCTGAAGCTACTGTATTACTTTTCTCAGAGTGTTGTATTTTTAGGTAAAATCCACTTGAGGGAGTGAGGGTTGAGACATAAGTGTGAGTTTGATGAATGAAAGAACCACTCTGTGTGTGGGTTCTTGGCAAGCTGCCATGTCTTTGGGGATCATAGAAATTATTGATGACACAGAACACTCATATGCCCTTAGCCTGTACAGCTGATTCAACATGGAACAGAAACGCTGTCTAGAGGAAAGATTGTACGTTGTATTAGAGGAGCATAGGCTTTGCATATTTTTCTCTTTTAAAGATTACGTTTTAAACAATCTCTCCATTGTGAGAATTCCCTTAAAAGCAGCACTCTGGTTTCTGTTAACGCAGTACCTGGTATGATAAGGAATTGTTTGCAGGACTATTTCCACAAGTATTATTTTAAAAGGAAGGAACATCCCCTGAGAGATATTGTTTTAATTGTTGTAAAAATCTGC